CCCACTGGCTTCAACGTAGAACTTCGCACAGATGTGCAGCAGTTCGAGTTGCCACACTCCATGTAGCACACAATGCAAGAGAAGACAGTAAAGAGAAGTGTGAGGGGAAAAGAGGAGTAATATGGAAGATGCGATAAATCACAAAGAGTGAATGCATCCGACCATGACTCTGTTAGTACATCTATGATGAATTTAAATAGGAATGGGGACAGTGGTCACCTGTCACGGGCACCACTGGTTGTCTTCACTTCAGATGAATCCTTACACAGCTGCATGAGTGTGAGCAGAGTACCTTGGGCGGTATGATGTACTTCCTTCGCAATCCCTTCACTGGCAAACACTGTCATTATACCGCTCGACTGACAGAATCAAATTCAGCCTTCGGGTCAAGAAATACGGCCCATGTTCCATAATCTCCCGAAAGGCGAAAATCTGACCAATATAACCTCTTCACTGGTTTACTCGTGTTTGTTTCTCCCAAGCACCCCCTAATCTACGTATGAATATTGGGCCTAGAACTTTAGATACCATACTAGTCAAGCCAATCCCTCTATGTTTATCAAAGGAAGACTTGTCTTTCTTTTCGTATACGGGTCTTAGTTAGAGACAGACATGTTGGTAAATTGCAGTGTATCAAAAGATTGGTGTTTCTACTAGGCAGCTAGCTATGCTGGTTCCTCGCTCTCGAAAAGCATTAGAAAAGGTCAACACAACCTATCTCATAACGGTCAACAGTTACAAGTATATTCTTAATGGATGCAACTTTACAAACGCTTCAAAACAGGGCGCATGATTGGTCTACAGCAGTTACCTGGACTATGTGATCACACAACACTAGTGCTTTCTCTCATTTAGATAATTCAATAAGAAATCATCTGCTGAGTCAGCAGCTAGGAAGTAACAACATAAGTGAACAAGATTTCTGTTTGCAACCTAATTTAATCTTCATGATATCTTATGGGGATTAGTTGATTCTCTAGTTAGTCCTCGTAGACTTGCTGCTACTGTGATAGTATTGCAATCGCAAGCTGAAAACTCCCTACTCGACTGCATCCCACTGGATAGCTGTGTGCACGTTGTCTGGCTTAATGAATATATACTGCTAAGATAGTGCCTTCCATTGTCATCTTTCCACGAACTAACAGCAGTTTCGGAAGGGAACGATGAGTTTTATCAGAAGCTGCCTACTTTGTTGCCAAAGCCGAAACACTGAAAAAGGAAATTTGAAACTCCTCGTAAAGTATACCGGAGCATCTGTTACGGCTTGTACTGAGGAATAAACAATGGCGACTGTCTTTTTCAAATTTATTCAGATGACTACCTGTCACTGGTCAGCAATAATTTCACGCACAGAGACAGTACTTCACCTGGCGACCACCCATATTAGGCTAACGACGGTAAGAAGTAAACCATCTGTAGGTGAAGAGGATTGCCGTTCATTCTAAAACATAAGCTTGAACCTCAATCATTTGTTCATCCGTGCACATATATGTCGGTGGATGAACGGACAGGGAAAACAAGCAGTTGAGAGACTTTTACGTGCCTCAGGAATCCAGATATCATACCTAGATTACTTCAGAGAATGTTAAAGGCTGCTGGTAAGCTGTAGACAAAAGTTAGAGGTAATACCTGTTAACCGTCTAAGCTCATTTAGGGAAATGGGCACTAAAATACCTATAGTCAGTTAAGCTGTTGTTTACTGTTTTAGGCGCCCGACTAGCAACCACTAAGTCGCGAATTTGAATCCCGCAGCCCACAGAGAGGCTTGAGCAGGAAGGTAGTATGATTAGTCGTCAAACAATAGGGGTATGCCAACTGCATGGAAACGCAAGTGGAAGTTGGGTGGGTAATATTTCCTTTCTTCATTCATGGGAAGTGGAGTGAGATTAGAGGACTATGGAGAACTAATACCTAAGATGAGAAAGCTGGAACATCGTGCAGTATGCAGACGATTAGTAAGCAGCTGTACTACGACTGCCCGCCATCGAAACCCCGTCTGAGTTTCCTCTTAGTGTAGCCCAAGTCGCAAAAGCCATCTCTGATCTAGGAGGGAAAGCAACGGAAATTTATACAGTAACATGTATACAGTTACACTATATATATATATATATATATACATAGTGGTGTAAGCGTGATATCTAGTCATCCATCAGCTGAGATGTCGCTGAAAGCGGGAGGTAAGAAATGACAAGCAGTTATTAACAAGAGGACCATATTCACAATCATCTTGAGCGGAGCAACATGGTTAGTCATAATGAGGCTACGCGTAGTGTTAGGTAAGAAGGGAAAGTCCTCCAATGAAGTCAAAGAGCTCGAGTCACTAACTTTCTTGACAAAGTTAGCTGAAATACATTTTTTCCTTAGTTTCATGTGTACTTTTCTAGAGTGTGCGATTTTGTGCATGGATTCGCGCTGATGAGTCAACTCGTCTTAATTCTGCTGGTTCTGATAGAAATGAAACTGAACACCACGACATTCTGTAATGTTAAGTCGTAGGCTTTGTTTATTTAGCAAATATCAGGGCTTACAGGAAATAATCACCTGCATGCGATCACATTAAATTAGTTTAGAAAGCTCTCACCAGACTAGTTATTTCAGTCTTGTTATCCAACTGCAAGAAAGGTGGAAAACCACAGAAAACTGTCTAGGAAGTAATTATCGAAAGTCAGTGATGTAGAATGTAATGCAGTTTCTGTTTGAATGAATATCTGATACAGTAAACAATAATGCGTATGAGTAAAGTACTTACCAGTAGGTGTTGTGTTGACATGGTTGTCCAGGATACTCTCCGTCACAGTGTCTTGGACACATGGGCGTTTCTTGATTGGTTGCTTGATACTGCTGCTCGAGGTCGAAACGGATGCACCATCTGATGCTGAAGTCTTTCAAATATCAAGGAAAAATTTACGAGCACAGTTCAGCCATAATTTTCAAAATATGCAACTTGTCAGATCACAACTGTTATGAAAATAACTACATATTTTCCTGGGGCATACGTAGGCAGTTCTCATACACTAGTTACTACGAACGTTTAATCTCACCCAAGTGCACACAAAAGAAAAACAGATGAGAAGTTCGAATGGGCTTATTTTGATAAAATGAATATTAATACTGGATTCGAAGAAACGATCAGTGGTGAGACACAACAGTTATTGGTCTTGGAGAAGTCTAGCATTACTCCGTCTACTGTTTCTCGTCTTCCAAAAATAGCTAAATAACACCTATTTCTGCATCTTCTTGAGAAGCAGCAGATACAAAAATGTATTTCTGTAAGCTTAGATGACAATGAAGTAATAGGGCAGGTTAGTTGTAGGCTGAAAACAACTTATAAACGCAGATTATAAGTAGGGAAAACCAAAGAAATGAAAAATGCACCGCAGGTTAGATCAAAAAGTCAATTCAGTTACTAAGAAAGTTAGAAAACTAAGGGTTAGCAACATGGGTCAAAGTCCCCTTGCAAGAGAAGAGATTGTAAAATAAACAAGCTGTTTAGAGGAAGAATTCAACTCGATCTTAGAAGCAATACAATTGTCACCTGTTTATCCGCAAATTGAAGGAATGTTTGACAAACAACCTCAATTTAAGTTGAAAATTAAGTGCAGCAAGGCCTGCAGGTTCATTTTAAGAACTGTTTATTAGAAGTTGGCTCAGGATTATCAGACAAAATTATTGCAATTTTAGTAGAAGCATACGAGTTGGGCATTAGTTGCAGTTTTCTCCGCTACCCTCCTACCTATATTCATGACGTCTACTTCAACTAATTATAATTGCAATCATTTTGTGCATTTCCGTTTAGTCTTATTCAAGGTGAGAAAATTTCATCGATTTTGTACAGTGGTCTTACATCTTAATTTTGATATTCACTTTACTGATTTCTGAAACATTGTTTTTCTTAGTTTCATAATGGAAACGACTTCTGATTATCGCAGGTGATCTACGGAATTAGTCATATGAGTGTAACAGGCACTGCACAAGGAAGGATGTGAACGGGATTCACATTACCGTCGGTTGTTACTATAAATCTGCACTACTCAATACTACCGCAGTCGTATTGATGTATTTGAGTGGCACAGAACTTCTGTCCGATTCACACATACACACAAATGTGAATAGACTTACAGAGGGAGATAGCCATATAAACGGGAAAAGGTACTACAGTAACTAATTTAGACAAAACAGCTTACATTCAAATGAGGACGTTTATGATTTAAGATGGACTTTGTTTTGCATCTCTCAGCACCCGACAAGTCAGCTGTGACATTGACTGTTCGGGAGCATACAGTGCACATAGCTCCCCCAGAAGAAAAGCTTTGTACTTGGCGACCTAAGAGACTTAGTATTTTTAAACTTGACTTACGCAAACCGCATATCTCCATTTCTTTGCCTTTCATGACATCCTCCATGTGCTTTAACGATCTAAGAACATAAGTGTATTGAGGAGTCTACCTTTTTAAAGATTCGTTCTCGTCCTGCAGGCGACGGACTTCGCTGTCAACACCTAGAGGATAATCAAAAAAGTACTCCATTACTAACCATTTTGAGCTCGGTGAAATTGTCTTCTGATTCCTATAAGCACTAGATATCACCACAAGTAAATCTTACTAGAAACAGAGGCAGAAACTTCCTTAGATAATGAAGTCCGTAGACTGATCAATGACCTGATAGAAGCACATTCCAACTCTTTAAATCTGTTTTCCATATCTAGTACTATAACCAGCGCCACAAGGTATGACTTCTGACAAGCGATTGTATAAAACAACAGTAGACCTTAAGTCCCATAGTTCGATTGAGGAAATAAAGAAGTGTATATAATTTAGGTTTCAATTCTTTAGATTTGAAAGGTTATTTCCATGTGGCTGGCCAGAATTTCGCCGCCAAAACTCAGAAGGGCTTGTGCTTTAAAAGACATTATTAGTGGTGGCTGCAGATGTGATACTATCGTATTTCGATACAAATATCTAAGGATTGACTAAACCATCCACCACAAAGAATATCGTGCAATGCGAAATTTTCAAGAAATCACATGATGAATTTAAATAGGTTAGGAATTGTTACCGTTGGATTAATACTTTTGCAATTTCCTGGGTCTCCGAGTAGAACATAGGGCTTCAACGGCACATCCTCACTTAGTCCCATTCTCTGTAGTCGTCTCCAAATGGATCCACAACTGCATATGGTCCTTCATCTCCTCACATGTTTACCCTCAAGTCACTCTCGGACTCCCAGCTAGTCGTCTCCCATTCGGGTTTCACTCGAGGGCAACACAAATGATTGCACTCAGTGGTCTCTTCAGTGTGTGTCCGATCCATCTTCACTTTCCTAGCCATATTTGTTGGATATTAGTTTCACGATGAGTCTGCTACTAGGGTTCTCTGTCGCTTATCCTTCCAGCCACCTGATCTTCATTCTGAAGCGAAGACAGCTATTGATGAAATTCTGAAGTAGGCTGCTGGAAATGTGTTTCGTGACGCGCGAATTCTCAGACCCATGTGAAAGAAATGGATGAAAAATTAGTGCAGTGCACATTATATAACCTCATCAAAGTGAGATGACGATTCTTCCCAACGAAGTAGCTTTGAGAATCGGCTTTCGCAGAAGTGTTTTTCGATAGAAATCTACAGTTTGAGCCAAACTTATCCATCACGTTGGTTGAAATTCCTCTTGGTAAATTATTTTGTCGATACGTTGTAATAAAATTGCGTTATATGTATTCTAGATTGATAGGAATTCTCATTTACTGACTAGTCATGGTGGTGTCCGCGTCATGTAATCTGACTGCGACACACTCTTAGCATATAGGTTGCAATGATCAGTGTTTCAGGCGGACTGTGTCAAAATATGGTTATAATGAGCATAATGGGATAGTCGGAGGGTAATGTCATCTACACAAATAGTCTACTTTATGTAGAAGCTGCAGCTTTCGGCATAGTATCATTCAATGAAGACTTCACGTCTCAGGATATCAATGCGGCCTAATTTCGTGTGAAGAACAGTACTATTTGACAAAAGGAATGCTATCAGTACATGGAAATCACCTATAAATGCTAACAGAACCTTCTGTGGGAACAGAAGTTATCATGTAGATGTGTCCTACTGTACGCGTGTTTGGACAGGAATTATCGTAAGTTGAGAGGTTATCTCCAAGTGGATTTAATGTATGTATACTCTCTGGTGCAATGGATTAAATATATAAAAATATCCCAAATTTATTAATATTGTGCAATTGTCTGGTAGGATCACTGCTAGGCCTACAAATGTGGGTGGTTCTCATTATTACTGCAAGTGCAGTGCAGTGGGGAATGCGATTACTCGTTAAAATTTTTCATCGTTTCAGTTTGTACTATTATAATTCACATGTATTGTGTTGATTATGGGAACTGAATCTAGTCAGCTGTATCATTATCAATCTACTGTCTGTTATGCCATTCCCACTGACACTGTATACTTAATGCTGCAATAGTTTTGATCACCAACAGTGGCGGTGAATTTCTCCTGAAATTTCCAGTCACATAAAGCAGTATCACGACTGAATGTCTGGGCTATATTAGCATTGTTATCCTCATCAACACAAAGGGTCTGTGTATCTTTGAATATTTTAAGTGTTTCTCTATGCTGTCAACACTGTGCATGGCTGTTTAGAGTTGAGACATGTTCAGTTTATACTTGATTGCTATAGTTTCCTAAATATGGGAATGTAATTTCGGTGGGATTCACGAAACCATGTTCACTAGATATTGCTGTGATTGTGGAATAATTTCTAAGTTACACATTTGAAATACTTCTTTTAGTGCAAGTGTATTTATTGTGAAGTTGGTCTGCAAGTAATCTTGATGAGAGAATAAAAGCTTAACAGTATGGATTTTCCACAGATTGTCTTGAAATTCGCGTATAATCCTCTAATACTGGAAAACGCATGTGGTCTATTCATGCGTACAGCGTCAATGTAAAAACCAACTGTGAGCTACAAATACTTTTATTTGTATGAGAATTTTGTTCAGTATTAACAGACTCAGTGTATTCGTATCGCATATTAGTGTATAAAATTATCTCCCATAACTTCATGTTGTGCTTCATGATTTAGTTACATGAAGTTCGTCGAACATGAAATCGGCGGAAATGTCAATCGGTCAAACTGATGCTAATACTCCTCATCAAAATTTCCTTTTGTAAATTAATGAAATGTTTAATATACTCTTAATTTCTACTTCTTCTGGACTTCCTCAATAAGTCGCTATACTTTGTGCTTTTGTAATATGTGAATTTCGTCTACTGCGTGTTAAGCCTAGTTAGTGGAATTGAGATTTACTATAGTATTATGAGACTGTTACTTTAGTCATTCATAAGATTTCGCTTCTGTTTCTGTACAATATCACGTTGTAAAAACTAAGTAGGACCCAGCAAGTTGAATAATAATTCTGCACTGTTCGACACTCTAAAGATGCCTTGTTTAGCTAGTTGCGTGTCTGTATACTGTTAAACGCCAAGTATGCAGTTCAGGCAAGTGTAGTAACTTAGTGTTGATAGCTACTTCATTATTCTGTTAATATGCATTGACATCATCAACTAGACTGTTTACCTGGCGACGAGCTGAGAGACAATTTTTATTTATTAACAATACGCCGCTGAATCATGTGTTGTTATCTAATACTCAACATGTTTATGATCAACAACTGCAGCATTTGCATATCTACCTTGTTGATATTAAATTAACCTTATGCATGTAATTACAATCAGTGTGACAACAGTATTCCCTACTCATTTGATGTGTGTACACTACACAAGTCTCTCATACAATCTCCCACGAGAGCCAAGCTTTCTAGTGTCACAAGTGTTAATGAAACTTGCTTCCCTGGTTTCAATACAATTGATGTTCTAAAGTGTCTCCAGTCACTGAATCCTTCTTGTAGCCTAGGACCAGATTGTTTGCTCAGCGTTTTTCTCAAAAAATATGCAGATACCTGTAATCCCTTCGTCGACATACTTGATGAGTCTTTTTCCAGAAATATCGTGCCAGCCGTTTGGAAGGACATTAAAATTGTACCTATACCTAATTCATCTACTGGAACATGTATTAAATTTAGACCTATTGCTATTACCTCTCCTTTTCTAAAAACTATGGAAAAGTTACTCTTACTTAACCTTAGCTCTTCACCTAAAGCCTTTAACGATACCGAACAATTTGCCTACAAACATAGTAGAAGTACTTTAGATGCACCTGCAGTCTTGCATCATAACATTGTCTCCAGTTTAGACAAAGGGGCTAAGTTTGTTCGCTGCACTTGCCTAGATTACACATCTGCTTTCGACTCAGTAACTGGGAATATTTTGTTAAGTAGGCCTGCTGAAACTCAAACTGAGTGTTGGGTTGCCAAATGGCTGCGTTCTTATTTCTCAGGAAGAAAGCAGTACACTGTATACCACATGCAGGTAATATATTTATGAGCTAGGTACGCGAAACAAAGTAAACGCTTGTACGGTACATTCATTATTTATAAGACTAACTTGTATTTAAGAACTACGATTTGACCAGCTACACAACGTTTAATATATTTAGACGCAGTCAACGTACGCTGCTTACTTCTATGAGGCATTAACTAAAGCTACGTAGATACCTTAAAATAGTTTCCGCTGAATGTAATCTTTTGTAGCTACTACCTGAGTTAACAACGTAACGTTATCTTTGAATTACAAAGTAAAAGCGGACATCCTGAGAACTTTCTTGGTAAAAAGGTTGTCCCCTGGTCGAGAAAAGTAAATTTACCCTAATCTCAAAGATAGCGTGTAGAGGTATTTTTCCTGTTACTTCAAATGACTCACTAATCGCAATCACTTACAAAGTAAAAATAAATTCACCGAAGACAGTGTGCTTATGATTTCTAGATGTTGTAATGCACCACGAAGAAAGAACTATATACATAAGGTTATAACAGTTAGACGCGCGATATTAATCTGGAACACAACGACTACGGTTCTCAATCACAGAACATTCTACTTTGCTACCTGTTCGTTTAATCGTGTCAACAAATTCTTCGAGAAATGAGTAAAGTGCATTGAAATTTTCCGTAAAAATCATGGACATCCTAATTCATGACCACGGAAAAATTACGAACATCAGAAAAATAAGAATTTCACTATTTGGACTGAAACAAGCAATTTGTATTCAGCCAATGTTTTCACCCCGAATAATAATCAGCTTCTCAGCTTGTTGTAACTTCGGAAAAACCACCAAATGTAGACCGAAATCCGAAACGTTATTCCTGCTAATTAAAGTCTTACTTCTATTTATGATAATTCGCACAGTCATCAGATCATGGTATGCCATTAGCTTTTAAAATTGTTTAACAACATATTGAATGGCTGGTAACATTGGCTTTAGACAGTCCTATTTCATGCATTTGGATCTAGTACATTATGCATTAATAACCATAGATAACACTTACCCTTTAGAGGTCTCTGATTCACTTTCGACTTCTTTTTGTTTCCAAAAGTTCATACAGACACCACATATTCATACTTCACACGTGGCTTATCCTCGTTTTATTTAGATTCAAGTATTGGTTTGTAGGGATTTGGTTGATTGATTACAGGATTTCATCATGAGCTGACATTAGTTAGAGAACCACTGGAAAACCTGGCAGTGCTGAACAGCTGTTTCGTCCTAGTTTGGGACTC